GCAGCGAAACCGATGGCAAAGCTGTCGATGCGGTCAAACAAACTGATAAAAACTTGGCGTTTATAACGTTTAGGGAGGCCTTACTCTATGAGATGTATAGGGCGGGCGCCGACAACTTTTATTTGCCACCAGATAATGAAGATTCCGTAATATTTAGAGATATTCTGGCCGTCCCTATGCGTAAGGACTTTCAGCACAAGGATGTGGTCAACGATTTGTACGAATATATTAACTGTTTTAAGCTATTTATCATAATTGTTATGATTTATTAGCATAGGAGCCGTTAAAAAGTCTGGTTTTATAAACTATTGGAGGGCCGCTGAGATGAGACGGGTGTCCAATGATTTCAATGCCATTAATAAGTTTATTGATTCAGTCAATACCGATGTTAAACAAGATCATAGTTATAGTCCTATATATTTATCTCAATTAAATAGCGCTATAATTGCTTTTATTTTCGGTATAATAACCTCTGTATTTATATTTTTAAGTGAGTTTCTATATTTTATAATTTCTGAAGTTGTGTACAAAAGATTATTGTCTCAGAAATGTAAATTAAATTATTATTAAAATTATGATAAAATAAAAAATCAATACTGCTATATTAAGTGGGAATAAGTCTTTAGGTTGTTATTTATTGAATATAATTCTTAGTCAACATTTTATTAATAGTGTTTATAATGTTTACTGATTAATTAATTAATTTTTAAATTAAATTGATTTATCATCAAAACAAGTGTATATTCCATTAATTAATTTAAAATAATAATATAGATTTTATATGTTTTATAAAAGAATGTATTATTTATTATATAGAAATTACTGAAGAATAAATTGAGTTTGAATTTTGAATTATAAATTAATAATCAAATTAATAAATGATATTTGCATTTCTTTAACACCACTTTATCTGTTATAAGTTTTAATATTCAATATCAACTTTGTTTGTTACATAAAACAATTACTCAAACTTTAAGACCCAATGCTTTACGAATGCATTTCTGAAATGAATAAATTAACAAACAGATTACAATTTGATATGTTTGATAAATCAAATAAAGAATAATTAAATGAATATTTTGGTGAAGTATAACATTTGTATGATTACTCACATATCTCTCGAACCCCTTTTTAATTCTCGTTTCTTCGCTCAATGAATCCAATTCTTTACTCAATTCCTTAAACTCTTTGGAATGACTTAACTTCTTATAGCACTCCTGATACTAAAGTTGGTATAAATATATCACATTTGCATCAATTAGTCAACAATTTCATTAATATGACATTTAATTAATTAAAATAATTATAAAAGTAAAAACTTTTAATAAATAATAAATGATCGCATATTTACACGACAGTCTCCCTTCTCATCTTCATAATAAGCTGATCCGGGATGTGCTCGCAGTTTATCGCACTGTCGGGTCAGGTTCTGTAGGGCATCAGATATAAGTCAATAATTAATTACTTATAATAATAAAAGTCATTCATATGATATGATCGTACATTAAATTTATAGTATGCGTCCAATTCATTGCATTTCTCAATCTTTGCCTTAACGTCGTCCGAGTGATCCTTTTTGCAGATCTCGGCCGACACTTCTGTCCAGTTTTCCGAGTCCTCCAAGTCCTCCATATTTGGCTGTTCCTTGCAATCAACTAATGCCATATTTACTACGATCACTAGTAATAGACAATTTTTGAATTGTAATTTCGGTAACATTTTTGAAAATTAATTGTGAAAGTGAGACACAAAGTGTTTATCACGAATTTAGTTCATAAAATGAAAAATTTTAATTAACATATAGTACTCTTAATTAGAAAATATTTCAAGGCTTGGATACAAATATAAACTCTAAATTGAAAATTATGTTGTCGATTAAGATATGTTTATTAATTTTGTTACCAAAAATATAGTGAATGATTGTATTGAAAGTATAAATATTTTTTTTGTGAAAAAAACATAAATATCTATTTATATAACACATAATAACGTGATTGATAGTATAAAGAAGTTTTACTTTACTATTCAAGTACATTTATTTGTGCAAATAGTAAATCCCGGTTAAATAAATAAATATGCAATTTTTATGAATACTATGAATACATTTATAACTTATTTAATAAACACAATATTTATACAACTGTTAATTGTATTTTAGAGTTCACTATTAACATATTCATTATATCTTTATTAATAATTGATATATTATTAAATAACAAAAAACACAATAAGTGTAATATTTATAATTAAACTAGGCTAATTATATTAACGGCAAATATAATACTAATTAATAGTACTAAATATGTAATAGTAATTTTTTGAATTGTATAGTATAATATTTATGAATAATAATTTATTCTAAATTGTTGCTGATTACTTTTATAATTTAATTTTTGTTTAATATTTAATTAAATTATGTAAAATACAAAAATATAGTATATTTTGTTGAGTAAATA